GATGACGATWAGATTTKCTCGCTTCAGTCTGTTTTTCCCAGWTTTCCGCKACTTYGTCTSAATGRGACAATGCASGGAMACATAGATTCACGGATCSAAACCTTACCTGTCTATACCGTAMAGATAGCASACTCCGACGCACTCCACGACAGCAATCAACARAAGRGGRAGATTAGCACAGAAACTATCGAACATTTGAAGGATGTACTCTCCTGTCGTTGTAACCATGCTTAGTCCAATGCATAGCGAGAATATACACAATAAAACTATAACAAGAACATCATTACTTGAGCTAAAATCGCTAATATTATCATTATGATATTCCCATGATTCCCATGATATATTGTATTATCTCGGGAAAGATAGTACCCCCCCCCCCCCGGGAAAGATGTTATATATGATTCATGACAGGTTCAAAATTCAAGTCAGTCAAGTGGATCTACGAAAGCAAAATTTTTTTTACAAACCTTTATTACTTACACGAAAGCAACTCTTTTCTGATTTTTTTAAACCCTTTTATGTCTTGCAAAGCGRTCGTTATGCTTTCTAGTGCACCAAAAAGACTGTCCAGCCCAAGTGTTAGAAGCATTAGAAAGAACATCACTGCCCAAAAGTTAGATCCTGGCATTTCATTAATGGCATCAGTGAAGGMAATGAAGACTAGACCAGGCCCGCCAGCTAGCTGCAAGAATTCAGAAAAAACTATCTTTGTAGCTTAGTAATGAGCATGCGCAATTTGATGGTTTAGTTTTCTTTGAATCACATCCCACATGGAAGTGAATCACTCAGACTGGGTATCATACTCGATCTTTTGGACAACGTACATTAAAATCGACATGATTTGTTTATAATGTCTTTGTTTAAAACTCCTGTTTGTCTCTGATGTGCGTGCGCACGAGTAAGACACTGATAAATAAAACATCAGCATCACATGCGCAAATCTAAGTATACCAAAACATAAAGAATAAAACATAGATACCTCCGTGATGTACTTTTCAATGTTACACTTCGGCAATGCGTCCATAACTTCCTTTGTAGTATTTGCTATGAGTTTTTGCATCTGTGAGGGAAACATTCCAGTTGTATTTGTAGCGCAGCAATAGAAGCATTGATCGTTGAGTTTAGATTAYTTATTCCAATCGATCGAGTGTTCTCGCATGCCTTCATCATGAACGTTGCTCTGCCGAAAATATTGATAATGATTATGATGATAACTTGTCATTTTAGTTCAAATGATGCTCATGTTGTGRCTRAGCGATTTTTCAGATCTATGAGCGTGMAATTGTGCATCGCGTCATGCATTGCGGCAGTTCAACTTTTAAAGTCACGCACRTCACGAAAGACTTCTTTYGTTCAAAAATGCAATTCRTAAATTAAAATAAGATTTTTKTWAATTTCCATCCGCGTGACACGATTATGAATTCTTACCTAAATCCTAATATGGAGAAYACTACAACACTAGCAAATAGAGACGTCATGCAATTTGCTATAGACACTGTCACGGCGTCACGCAACGTATTTCCTTGAGGTGGATTGTAGCTCGCATACGCAACCATTGTGCCAAACGCCAAACCTAATGAGAAAAAGATTTGCGTTGCTGCGTCGAGCCAAACTAAAGGATCTTGAAGCTTTTCCCACTAAAAGATATATCAGTACAGATTTAAAAAAAAAAAACACGAGCAAATCTTAATTCTCTGTGGGTCACGCAGTCGCATTCGACTAAATTCGAATGAAAGGTAAATAACACATTAATCACACCAAATCAAGTATTGTCACGCTATCTCTTTCTAGGAATGAGTCACGTCCCGTATCTTTATTGCAACTGTGTCATGCAATGTCTAGATATACCTTGGGAGTAAAGAGATACTTKATTCCAACGTCATAGCCTTCCAGAGATAGCCCACGGATGAAAAACGCAGTTAGAACAACGTACGGAAACGTAGCAGTAACGTAAACAACCTGAAACGTATCATGTAARAACGTCATAATCATTAACATTTATAAGGATTTATATTTAGGAGGAGCTGACGCGTTCCTGGGAAAAATATGTATGTTCTTATGTCCCAGCAAGCTGTAAGTCACAACTAGTTGCCAGCGAGAAATTCAGAAAAAAAGAACTCTCCAGGCAAGGAATACTTTCTAAGAATTTAGTATAGAAATTTCTTAACTAAAAAAATATAAGCCGTTTTTGACAATAAAAACGTTTTATAAGCCTTTTTTACCTTAAAACGTTTGCCAGAAACAAAATTATTTTAAAGAAGGTAGGTCGCCACATTTTGCGTGTGAGATTGTCAACAACGTAGCTCAAAATCCCTTTCCCAGGAAAATTCGTGCAAGAACAGTTTTTTAGAGGAACAGACCCCGTCGGTTCGTCCTGAGGAACGGTGTTGCGAGTGTTGGTCATTATACGAGAGAAGAAATTATAAGTGGTTTTGTGCCTTGTTCATTCAATCAGTACCTTGCCAGARGATTGAATTCCCTTCAAAACGCAAAGGTAAACCAACAGCCAACCAAGTACCAAGGCTAAGACTAGGTTCCAGTTCATTTCTGGAGTAGAMGTGATTGTATCTGCATGTTTGAGAGCGTGACGATGGAAGAAATASACGGTAGGACTGCTTGAAGAGCACTCCATGGGAATTGTGGTGATGTTTGCATCTTCAAGCTATAACGGYGAGGATATCAAATTGTATAGTAATATCTGTCGGCTATGATCAGGTTTAACTAGGATTGTTGAGCACGACAATAAAGGGAGCTATATGAGGGTCATGAAGGGGATTATCTAATCCCAATTCCCAATCAAATTTTTAGGAAAAAAAAAACAATTCTAACAGGAAGCCCAAAATACTGTTCATTTTAGGCTTAGTTAACGTTTATTTCGATTTTTTCTTCTAGTTTACTAAAACGGAGTAAAATGTTACAAATTAAAATTACTCATTTTAGAACAATGTTTTAGCATTAAAAGAGATTTTGAATGGACAAGAAATAGCCAAATCTCATTCCCAAACCCAATTTCTTTACGCAATCCCCATGGGTACATCCTCAATAGTAAAATCCCAATTCCCAGCCTTACCACCCTAGTTTACATACATTTCCACATACCATTAATCCGAATACAGTACCTTTGGACACTGTTTCCAAGGCAATGGATTCTCAAAGGACTTCACCAGGTAAAACAACACCCATGAGACAACCACGTTATAGTAGCTTCCAACGAAAATGCAGACGATGGTTGACGCAATCCCCACCCCACCCATGTAGGGTGATACTGTACTCCAGATTTGAATAGAACCTTGGCGCATGCGTTGACCAACGCTGAGTTCTAGAAAGAAGATGGGGATTCCCTCGAAGATGAGCATAATTACATACGGGATTAGAAAAGCACCTGCAAAAAGAACGTTTGATCAAAACATTTCCATCAGAGATCATCATCGACCTTAAAGTTATTTCACCTCCGCCATTTTTCTGACAAAGCCAAGGAAATCTCCACACATTTCCCAATCCAACAGCAAATCCGATCGTTGCGAGAAGAAACTGGAGCTTGTTGTCCCATCCTGGTCTAACGGTGTCTTCTTTCTTGGTACCTGCGTCCACTTCAAGAGATGAAGCTCTCTCCTGTCGCCCTTCTGCAACAGGTGACTTGACTCTTGTAGTCAARTGTATGTCCTCCATCGGTTTACAACATAAAAGCCTCTCTTTTAAGCCAATCAGATTGCAGTAAGCATGAGTTTAAAAAGGAATATATTCATTGCCTTAATTTCTATCACTACGACATCATAGCGAAATAGATCATTTTCACTTTAAGGTAATTTAAATCTGAGATTAACAAGATCAGTCAAGGTTAATCTTTGAATAACATGAGCGCTCTAAATAACACTAAAAGCAAATATCAAGCAAAGTGAACTATAATATAAGTGAACTATAAATATAAAACTTTGTCAGACAGTTTTTTCTTATTTTGTTAATTTTCACATTTTTCGTTTTTTCAGGAATCGCTAACCACTCAAACCTAATCGGCTAGCGTGTTGCCATGTATTCAAATCCTGTGGGAAAAAGAACTTTTGTTTCTAAGAATTCAAATATGCAATGAAAATACAACGAACAATAAAACTTACTCCCGAGTGCTGGTTTGAATTGGGTGGAAACGTTTAGAGCAATGCTGCGTTAGCCGATTAGGTCTATTAATTTAAGCGCTTCTATTTTTGATTTGAAAATGATATAAACAGATTGATAAGACTCGTTCAGTATATTCTTACCTTATACAAATCCTTAAAAAAATAGTGCAATTGTTTAAATAAATTTGAAGAAAAAACCTTTTTATCCCATATTGATCACGTGAGCGGAAGAATCTATCACGTGATTTGTATTTGACTKTTTTTCAAATCAGCCAATCAAATGAAAGACTCAAAAAAGCACAAGGGACTTTAACCAATCAAAAGCCAGTATGTGAGCCCACATACACATAGGTATGTCTGATGAAATACCAATGAATAATTTCAACAACAGAGGAGCCAGTTTTTCTTGTATAAACATTGTGTGTGGGGGTTTTGTAAACAAATGTTAGATTGCTAACTCAGTGACGTACGGGACTGAGTGGTGTCATGAAAATGCAAATATTCAGTAGAAAAGGGGAAAAGATCGTCTTCGGTAATAAAAGAAAACAGGTCTTGGTTAAGAAAAAGTAGATATAAAACGTYTCAATTTATCAAGGACGATGAAATAAAAGTTTTTGKGAGACTGATAGTGGTGTTCCATTTCGTCAAAAAGCTGTATATTGATTTCCATGTTTTTAACCATGGAAAGTGTTCAAATAATCAAGGTTTCATTTGCAGAAAACATACATCAGTTAATTTTGATYAACTTCCATATTAGGGACTGTAATGTGTATTTAGTTTGACGGTGGTTTTGTTGCATTCCCCGATTGCGTGACATGGCCGCCATGTTCRAGAATAAATCGAACGGGCAACTTTTTWGAATTMATTAATAGTTCCTTGCACGCARAAAAAGATATTTCAGATAACCAGCAAACGTCTGCAAAAGYATCTAAAAAGGATTAACATTATGAAAAACGCGGGAAAARCTTGTCGCGATATTCTCCAAGCGTGACTGTATAGATAAGTTCTTCTTGCGTGACCGCAAAAACAAACGTTTCTATTCAAGGACGGTARAAATCTGTGCTTGAAAAATTATTTTCGGTCGGGATTCTAAAACTTCTAAGGATTGTTTTAGTTGCGGTTTTAATRTATACTTATWCTCAAATCGTTTAAATCATTGAAAATGAAATACTAACGACTGGTCACAGAACAGCAAATTCAAGGGTTYACACACTMCAGATACGAAGGGGTTGAAAGACTCAATGAATTGTTTTGTATTTTATTGTTGTGACGGTGAGTGACTGTTAAGATATAAAGACGTCATGTGATTGGACAGTCCGTTGGTAATTCACGGCCTTGGCGTTAAAGAGAGGCRAARRGGCAATTAGCATTCYCGAGYAGGATTAGACCACTTCTATCCACACCCCGTCAGAGGAAGAAGCAGATCCGTCCTTTGCCTTACAGAAGTACAGCGTAAAGATGGCCGACATACCCAAAGACAAAATGGACGAGATTAATGATGCTTTCTCGCTATTCGACCAAGAGGGAGACGGCAAGCTAGACTATAAAGACATCCCCAAGATGTTAAGATCAATGGGGCTCAACCCTGTAGGAACCGATATCGAAAAAGTGCTGGAGGACTACAAGTCCAAAGAAAGAATCGACGTCGAAACATTCCTACCTGTTTATTCCGACTTCTGCAAAATCAAACCACCGGTAAAAGAGGATTTCATCGAGGGATTCAAGGTGTTTGACCGCGACGGTCATGGCACTATCGACTCAGGGAATTTTCGCGCTATGCTCTGTAACAGAGGTGACAGCAGGCTGACCGAAGAAGAGGCAGATACCATCTTGGAGGGGCACGAAGATGTTGCTAAAGGATCGGTAAACTACAACCAACTTATCGACTTTGTCATGGCAGAATAATTGCATTTTGTAAAAGAGACTCATTTGTTGACATTGTATAACACGAACACAGCAAATTCACTCTTAAATCTGGAACATCTTTTCTCGATTCTTCGACATGTTTTTTTTCTGCTTGTGGGAGGACATCAAAGGCAAAGTACGATTTCAACCTCGAACTGATAGAGTTTATATATGTTATATTATATATGTATTGATTCTATCCGTTTTGATTAATAACTAAATACAATGTGATTTACTCTCCGAAAAGATTGTATTTTCTTGACAAGGCAGGGCCTATGGGAGAGGCAATCTAAGAATTATTGTGACCTTTCGGACCTCGTTCAGGCGGCAAGCGTACATTTAAAAGTCGTTTTAAGTATGTTTCTAATTTAGCTTTAACGAGAGCTGTACAATTTTCGAAAATAAATCTTTTCATTGAATTTTATTGTGCGATTTTATTCTATCATAATGGAGCCTTCTTTTGTAATTTTACAACAAAAGTACTTAACACAGAAACGCGGATTTGCATTGAATTATAAAACATTCTTGAATAGCAATGCTTCTGTAGGCCACGGTTGGAGTCCATGTGTGGCAAAATACTTCTAGGAGAGCACTCGACGTAGAATTTACTTTCTCTTTGATAATGAATTAGAAAAACAAGTTTTTCGGATGCTACTTTTCCGCATATATAGGTGTAAAATACAGCAATTAATTATCGTTAATAAGTTAACACATTTATTATTATCAGATTAACACTGTTTCATGGTAGAGAGAGCAAATTCAAAACAGCTTTTTGACAACAGCATCTTTTTGTAGATGTTACGAYTGGAGACTTGACGTCAATCTAATAACTTCACTTGCGTTTTTTCACTAAATATGCCACACAGTATTTCAAGGGCTCTTGTTTTTCAAGTGGAATATGTTGCTTATTTAAAATAATTGCTTATTGGAAAACATACATCATGACTTTTGCAAAGGAAACCAAGTTTAAAAAGAAAAGTCTTCAAATTATAGATTTATAATCGTCAGTTTTAGTAAGCAAGTTAGTTTGAGCGTGGGAATATATTCAAACTCTGAATTGGTAAGCCCGACCAAAACGCACGCTAATTGGTTAATTAGGAGGTCTTAAACAAACTTAACTGYTGTTCGTGGCTTTGTTTTTATGATTTTATACAATTCAACGCTTTCTAGGTTGCCTGGTAACATTAGTGGTAGAAATCCAAGGAAACAGACCTTTTGTCAAAATGGCCGCTGCCCATTAGCTAATTTCAACTCAAGACAAAATGAAGCATTTAATGCTACTTATTAAGAGTAAAACGTACTTGGAAGCTATGAAAATTCTCTTTTGGCTCCATTGAATAACCATAGAGATATAATTTTTTTAGACAAAAGAAAATTTAGAAAATGTATGGTTAGTGCCATGGCTTATATCCCTTTTGAAAAATTCATATCTGTGCGAGCTTTTACCGTAACGTAAATCTGAGTTCAGTGTGTTTTTGAGTATTTCAGGGATAATTTCGTGTTAGGTTGGAAAACATTTGCTCAACGTACTCCGGCCATTTTGGCAAACGGTCCGTTGGACTGGGTCGAGCAATCATTGTCGCATTTGCACAGGTCACTACCTCACATCTTTATTTCAAAGGACAAACTCAAAGAGTGCATAGAGTCGTTTTCATCAGTCTGTGAAATAGGAATTGTGACTATTAAATACTATTACCCCCTATTAGCTCCCAATAGTTTAACTTATGACATGCGACAAACTAATTAGGCAAACACGGTTGTGATTTTGCCTTTTGGTAGCCTACTACACCCTAATAGTTACTATTAAACACTGACTAGTAGTAAATGTTTCACAGACGGATGAAAATGACTCTAAAAASGCACAATAAAAACTGACAAGGGATATTTTAAAAGCGTCATTGCTGAAAGTACAACATGGGAGGAAAGGTTGTGGATATTTCGGAAAAACACGGGCCTTCCTAAAGAACAGTTAGACTTTCACCGCTTCGCACTTCTACCCCGGGGGGGGGGGGGACTTCTACTGACTACTGCAAGACCAAAAACATTTGAATAATTTTTCGAATGCAATTATGACTTAGGCTAAACTGTATGGGATTATCTCGCATCGTGAGACAGAGATTTTGCTGTGAAATGTTTTGACAGGACAAGAGATTTCACGTGACCGACACGTGATTTTCCTYTGAACGTGAAAGAAAAACGCGACAATTCATTTTGTGTTTGTCGGAAAAGAGCAAAAGAAAAAAGAAAAGTTTTAAAGTGCACCAAAAAATATCAGTCCAACCAATCTACATGGGCATGCAGTCGTCAGAATAATCTATTTCACGGATTAGGCGGGCCCTTAAATCATCATTGATATCGCTGGCTAGATAATTAAAGAAAATGAAAAAGTTCCAAKATGTGACTTTTAGGAATTCAATAAATTTATGATTATATAATTACATTTCTCAGTAAAAAATATACCTCATGAAATATTCTCAATTCTGTTAGTAAATCATGCACTTTTCGCACGAAAAATAAATAAATAAACAAATAGGAAAAAAACGTCAAACACTGTTGAGAATCACTACATTTCGTTGTCCCAGTTGAGTTCTAAACATTTGACGTAATGCATGATTCGTAAGATAGAAACAATTTGAAAACTAAGTTGATTTGTTTTAGAAAAAAAGTTGTACATATTGATGGTTTTCAACCATTCCCAGGAGATAAAGTTAAACAAAAGATGTCCGCCATTGCTGGTGGACCTGACAAAAGAAAACCACCACCGTGACTGGTGGACCTTTTTGTTTTGCTCACTCTCATGGGAATGGTTGAAAACCATCAATTATATTCAGGCAGAAATTGATCCCTTTTCAGAACACAAATATAATTTATTCAATGCTTTTGTTGTTTATGTTTGTGAAGAAAGTGTTCTTTGTCTCGGTTACGAATCAAATAATTGAGACTAACCCAACATAATTAACATCTCTCAAGACAGTGTTTATAAAAAGACACCATATAATCCTAACCTAGTYAAACCAAGACATTGATCTATTTGTATTTTGACTAGATATCAAGAAACGCGAGTTAAAATCAGAAGTAACCTCTGCAGCTTMACTTAGCTAATTGATTTTCTAAACGATTTTCGATTACACAAATTGAGCATTCAAATGGCTTTATGGAAATTAACTGCCGTTAAATCACCGCAAGCATCGATTAATAAGAATGGAATTTAACTTAGGAATGCTCTTTGTTTAGCTTAATAATTCAGCAATTGTTAAACAAATAATTATGTTTGAATTATCAAAATACGCAAGGCAAAACAGTAATATTCAAAAAAACTACGAATAGAGATCGAGTGTAAATCTAAAACCTTTTAAAAGCACTTAATTAATTCGATGTAAATGAACCATCATTTTGTTAAAACACCAATTTTATACGTCAAAAGTTATAAACAAATCTTTATAAACCACACKCCACAGAACTAAATTCTTATTTCTCGCTATCAAGACTTGACATTTCCAGAAGACTGAATGAGTTCCCGAGTCATACTTCAACAAACTTTTACTGTCGCGTTTGAGTACCTCATAGTATTGATACATTTAATCCTATTACAATTTRAGAATATATAAGTTTTCCAGTGTTACTCAGGGCTTAATGTTCGAGACTCTGAATTCTGAAGTTGATTTTCAGTGTYAGTTTGTTTAGTCGAAAAACTCCACCGCAGGAAACCATAGAAGCGTAAGTATCAGCTGGACGTTGAAATAAAATACAAATGTTACAGTTMACGTTGACGAGTAGTTAAACAAGCATAGTCACCTAGCTATCCATTACTTTCTTGATAAGTTTTTCGTAYTCGACAGAACCGTGGTTATCTCCTAAAGCAATAATAGTATCGGCGTCTTCTTGGGTTAATGTATCTCCAAGGCTAACAAGAATGTTACGAAGTTCCGCTGCACTCACCGTGCCGTCTTGATCTTTGTCGAACGCACGAAGACCCTCGATGAACTCCTCCATTCCAATTTTCGGCTTCTTATCAAAAGCAACGTAAAGTGTCAGGAAGGAATCGAAKGAGACGGATTCTTTGCCGAGGTCTTTCTCCATCTTCTGGATGTCGTCCATCATTGGATTGAGTCCAACAGCTCTTAARATATCTTTAACCTTCTTTGCTGGGACTTTACCACGRCCATTGAGATCAAATAGTGAAAATGCATCCTGCAGTTCAGCAATTTGCTCGTCGGATAGATGATCTGTCATGCTGTAAAGTTTGCTAAACAAGAAGTTTAAAGTAGCTGTGGTTGTGTTGTGCAGGCGGTGTCCCGTTCATGAGTACAATTAGCATAACAAAAAGATGGCTTGTTACAGGATTGGTCGACTGCTAAACCGAAACTTCCGATGCGAGACCGGCTGCACGCTGCGA